ACACGCACACGCACACACACACACACACACACGCACACACACACACACGCACACACACACACACACACGCACACACGCGCGCACACACACGCACACACACGCACGCATCGTCGGAGATCAGGGCGCGCAGACTCGGAGCCTCCCAGGCCGAACCGCCCCCGAAATGGGATCGGGGAGGAAGCGGAGGAGAACTTCGCAGGAGGATGCTCGTAGTGGTTTCGCTTGCTCGCTTGCTTGTCTCTTGACGCTCACTGAAAAACAAACTCCTCTCCAGCGCGAGGAGAGGCGTCTGCTGGAGGAGAAGCACCGGGACGAGCTGGAGGCGCAGCGGCTGGAGCTGCTGCAGCAGGCCCAGGCCCAACTGCAGGAGCTGCAGCCAGCTGGCCCTGCTTTGTGCGGAGGAAGGCACCAGGAGACGAGGAGGAGGAGGAGGAGGCGGAGGAGGAGCAGGAGGAGGAGGAGGAAACGGGTCCTGAGGGAAACAGGTCATGAGGTATTTCGCCGTTTTCGGGCTCTCGGGGCCCTTCACGAGCCCCGGTATTGTCAGAAAACGACTCAGGATGAAGAACTCGTACTGGGGGAAGGCACCAGGGTCCAGGACCCGTTTCCCTCAGGACCCATTTCCCCCATGCTGAGGCGGAGGAGGAGGAGGAGGAGGAGATCCTGCGTTACTACTTTGTTTCCCCCATCTTAGTTTTGCTTGGTTCTCCTGCACCGTGATCGGCAGCTCCACAGGAATCATTTGTCGTCAGGCTCCGACCGACTGAGGAGGAGGAGGAGGAGGAGGAAGAGGAGGAGGAGGAGGGGCCATCCATATGTGACATTGTTTGTTATTGTCTCCAGTACCGGTTGTGACCCGTCGGAAGGGGGTGGTTTGGGCCACGGGTAGCGGTAATGCTAGGGCGGGGTGGGGCATGTCAGGGCGGGGGTGCGTTGCGATCCCCATAGTGTGCGCGCGAGTACCAGCGAGCGGGGGAAAGTCCGCCATCCACCAGAGCCGGAGGAACGAAGCGCGACACCACCACCACCACCGGGGGTCAAGCAGTGGCGAAGTGTCCTGGTTCGCCTATAGGCCCACCAAAAAGTGGTCTAAGAATTTTCACCACAATCTGGCTGAGACTGTCTTGCTTTAACACATCGGGCTTATGTTCTAAGAACATTGGCTTTTATTCCCTACCTAGGCTCTGCCTAGAAGGGTTCTTACTCTCTTAGCTTAAAGGGGCCGGGCACTGCAACACGCCCCGGGCGGTTCCCCCAGTCCCCTGGGAGCGGTTCCCCCCCAGTCCCCTGGGAGCTTTAGCTTTAGCTTTAGCTTTAGCTTAGCTTTAGCTTAGCTGCAGCTTAGCTGCAGCTTAGCTGCAGCTGAGCTTTAGCTTAGCGTTTCGCTTAGCGTTTAGCTTAGCTTTAGCTTAGCTTTAGCTTAGCTTTAGCTTAGCTTTAGCTTAGCTTTAGCTTAGCTTTAGCTTAGCTTTAGCTTAGCTTTAGCTTAGCTGTAGCTTAGCTTTAGCTTAGCTTTAGCTTAGCTTTAGCTTAGATTTAGTTTAGCTGTAGCTTAGCTTTAGCTTAGCTTTAGCTTAGCTGTAGCTTAGATTTAGCTTAGCTGTTGCTCAGCTTTAGTTTAGCTTTAGCTTAGCTTTAGCTTAACTTGAGCTTAGCTTTAGCTCAGCTTTAGCTTCAGCTTAGCTTTAGCTTAGCTGTGGCTTAGCTTTAGCTTAGCTTTAGCTCAGCGTTACTGTTACTACTAATGCTGCTTTCCTAGGGGGTCCAACTCCTAGGTAGGGTCGCACTGGGATAATTTGAATATTTGTGGGGTTCTATCCACCACAGCCGGAGGAACGAACCGCGGCAGCAGCACCACCACCAGGGGTGCCACCTCCAGCCATGAGATCCGCGATGCCTCTCCGAGCTTGGGGACGGGGAGCCTCGTTTGGGAAGGAGGGACCAGGCAGCCAGGAGGACCGACCTTCCCCCCCCCTTGGCTCGAGGAAGCGCACACATGGATCGAGGCGAGTGTATTATAGCGGTGGGTCCTCTTCCCATACGGAATCGGCGCGCTCCGTCGCTAAGCGAGGCGACCGTGGCCTCATGTTTGGGCGGCCCGACATTGGTCCCTCGCGCTGTTTGTGGTGGTGGTGCCGCTTCTCCCTGCTGCCACGGAGCGCTTCCCCAGGAGGGCCGCCGAGAGCTCCCGCACTTTCCCTGGGAAGCCCGGGAAGCCCTGCATTTGCCCCGCAGCCTGCGTTTCCATCCCGAGCCATTGTTGGGGCGGCGGCCCAGGGGCCCGGCGAGGGCCCACCGCAGGCCGATTACAGCCACATAACCGCCGTTGTGATTTTTGTCACGACGCGACGATGTTTGGGACCACGCCGCCAGGAGGACGAACACAGCCAAATAGCCGCCCTTGTGATCGTTTCACGGCGCGACCCGACCTGGGACCACACCACCAGGAGGACTCCCCCATGGCTCCTCGCTCTCGTGGTGGTGATGGTGGTGGTGGTGGTGGTGGTGGTGGTGGTGGTGGTGGTGGTGGTGGTGGTGGTGGTGGTGGTGTCGCTCTCCTCGGCGGCGCGCCGAGAAAAGCAGGGGGGAAAGGGGAGGGTTTCTGAGAAGGCAGGGTGTTTCGTCGAAGCCCTCCTAGGGCTCCTCGGAAGCCTCCCCGGGGGCTTCTGGGGAGCACCCGCCTTCGAAGGAGCCCCCCCCCTCCTCCCCACCTGCCCCCGTCGGCGCGCTGCCGAGCTCCCCTGCTCCCGCAGGGAGGGGGGGGCGCCGACAGCCCGCGCCGAGGAGGCCCGCCAGCGCCAGCTGCAGGAGCAGGAACGCCTCCTGGACCAGGACGCCTTCGAGCCCCCCGCCTCGCTTCTGTCTCGGCCGACCGCGCGGCGGGCGGCGGGCGGGAGCATCGATGAGCAGGCAGGGGCAAGAGGGGGGAGGAGGGAGGGGGGCGGCGAGGAGGGAGGGCGGATGAAGGAGGAAGGAAAAATAATAATCGACAAGGCGAGGAGGAAGAGGCGGAGGAGGAGGAGGAGGAGGAAGAGGAGGAGGCGGAGGCGGAGGAGGAGGAGGAGGAGGAGGTGGAGATGGAGCGGGGGGGATAGTGGTGAGGAGACGTGGGAGGAGGAGGGGGGGTCGGAGGAGGGCGGGATGACGAGCAGCAGCAGCAGCAGCAGCAGCAGCAGCAGCAGCAGGAGGAGGAGGAGGAGGAGGAGGAGGAGGAGGAGGAGGAGAGGCGGAGGCGGAGGCGGAGGAGGAGGAGGAGGAGGAGGAGGAGGAGGAGGAGGAGGAGGAGGAGGAGGAGGAGGAGAGGAGGAGGGGGAGGAGGAGAGGAGAGAGGAGGAGGAGGAGGAGGAGGAGGAGGGAGGAGGAGGAGGAGGAGGAGGAGGAGGAGGAGGAGGAGGGGAGGAGAGGAGGAGGAGGAGGGGGAAGAGAAGAAGTGGAGTGGGGGGAGGAAGAGAGAAAGAGAGAGAGAGAAGGGGATGCTAATAGCAGGAAGTGGTCGGAGGAGGGGGGGTGAGGGGGAGGTGGAGACGGAGGTTGAAGATGGTGATGATGATGCTGGTGGTGACGATTGCGACGCTGGCGGCGATGACGACGATGGCGGCGATGATGATGATCCGATAGTACTGATAATGCGTTGCATGATGGCGGCTATGATTATGGTGGTAGTGATTGCGATGACGACTATGGTGCCGACAATGATGGTGGTGGTGTTCATCATGAACATCATGATCATCATAAGGCCGCCGCGCGCTCAAGCCTTCGGTGACACAGCGGCCTCCTCAGGAGAACCCTCCATTGTTCGCCAGGGCTCACAGACCACACTTCGAATGCAGCTCGCACGGATGCCAGCTCAGGAGGTGTGACTCGTGCGGCATGCTAACGCGTTGCATGTTGAGGCCTGTTGAGGAGGTCTCCCACAAGTGGGAGCAGCATTACAAAAACAAACCGCTGATTATGCGCCACCCACCCAACGAGCACACCGAGCAACAACTCAAGCAGCTCGACGGCGCCGAGAAGAGAACAGCTGGTGGCGGCAACGGCGGAGCACGAGCTGCTTACGAAGTTCTTGGCGGTGGTGCGGCGCAACCAAGACGAGAAGGTGTACGACAACCACAAGATCGAAACCAAGGGTCAGGTTGCCATTGTCATGGGGAACTACCATCTCGCATGCACAACTTACCGAGCGAAGTCCATAGTCGAGTATCACTTCCAGTGCCACCGCTGCGACGATGGCAAGGCGCGCGTCTGCTTGCACACTGTCACAGGGAGCGACTACTTCCCATGTGCCGCCAACGGCGAGCAGTCCGACATCGTGCACATTGTTTAGTGCCGCGGCTGCGACCACGGCAACGCGCGCATCTCCTTGCACTTTCGTTCCGCGCGGTTCGCGCTCACGCAGGAGGGGTCCGAGAAGTCGCGGCAGGAGAACCTGAAGGCGGAGCGCGAGCCGCGCGCGAAGCACATGGGCGAGGCGCGGGGGGGCGCATTCAAGGATGACGTTGCCAACGTCGCTGGGGCGGAGCAGTGCCGCGAGATGCGCTACGACGAGCCCTTCGCCGACATCATCCGTCACGGAGTGCGCAGCGCCACCGGAGGCGTTGCGACGAGCCCTTCGCCGAGACTACGCGCTACAGAGCGGGGCAGTACCGCGGGAGGCACTGCGACAACCCCTACGTCGACATCGCGCGCTACGGAGTGGAGTTGCCCCGCAGGAGGCACCGCGACGAGCCTTTCGCAGACGTCATGCGCTACGGAGCGGAGCGGTGCCACAGGAGGCGCTGCGACGGAAGGGCGCGCCGAAGGGCGCGCGCCGCGAGTCTCGGCAGCTTCTGCCTTCGCTTCTAGGCCAGACCCCCCGGCAGCCGCCGATTCGGGGTCGGCAGGGCGCGCGCAGCCAGTCTCATCAGACTCAGAGCAGGAGCGCGCCGCAGGGCGCGCGCCGCCAGTCCGAGAAGACTCAGAGCTGGAGCACGCCGTTGGGCGTGCGCCGCCAGTCTCATATGTTGATGTGTTCTTGTCTGGGCTAGCCGACTCGAGGGCGGCAGGGCGCGCGTTGCCAGTCTCATCGGACGCGCAGCAGGAGCATGCCGCAGGGCGCGCGCCGCCAGTCCGAGAGGACTCAGAGCTGGAGCATGCCGTAGGGCGTGCGCCGCCAGTTTCAGCGTTTTCTGTGTTCTTGTTTGGGCCAGCAGACTCGGGGCGGGCAGGGCTGGCGCAGCCAGACTCTGCAGCTTCATTCCTTGCGACTGGACCAGGCGGCACAGCAGCTGCCGACTCGGGGTCGGCCCATCTTGAAGGGCCCGAGGGCCCGCGCGATCAGCTCTCGAATCCGAGTGCTATCCAGGTGCAAGCATGATCTCCCCCTGAACGCATTCGAGATGATTGGCCTCGCACCGCGTGGTACCGGCGCAATGGATTGAGATTGACAAGAATGAACATCTCCGTAGACTGGGTGGACCTCCGGACGCATTGCAGTACAAGAGTGGACATGTCGTGCGTGGGTATCTGGAAGAGTCGCCGGGCATCCGCGCGGATTCGAATCACCAACGCGCGAGCCCCAATGGCTAATGGTTCATCGCATCATGGGCAGCCGGTGCGAAAAAGACGCTCACGTGTGACAACATTTCATCTGCGCACTTCTAGGGGCAGGAACTCGACCGCCCCATGCAGCTCAAGCCACTGCCCAACGGACTCGAAGGAGCACCGAATGGTGGAGCACTGATCGCGCGCATGCCTGTCTATGGCAAGCGCGACGCAGGACGAGGCTAGTGGAAGAAAATGTGCAGAAGGTTTGATGTTCATAGTCTGAAGGGGAATCGCATCATGCCTGCTTTGTTTAGCATTCACAATGACAAGAACGGGATCGCGTGCGTGTTAGGCGCACATGTGGGTGACATACTGCAGGCTGCAGATGATGAGAGTCAGAGAGTCATCGGTTTGGTGTTAGCAGAGTTTGATAGTCACGAAATGAAGTTGGGAAAGTTCCGTTATTGCTGTGTAGAAGTTGTTCAGGATGCTGATTTCAAGGCGAGCATCGCGGTCGGGGGCAATATTGGGAAGATCGAGGCTGGATCCTATCCTAGAGACGGCCCTCTCACGAGAATGTGAAATGAGGGCGGGGCAGCGCAGCTTAGATCGGTCGCATGTGCTTTGTCATGGGTTACGCGTCAGTACAAACCTGAGCAATTGTATTGCGCGGGCAGACTGCAGACTGCAGCGCGCCTCGCTAAGGCACTTCGCCTCAAAGAAGCCAACCGCGCACTGGAGGAAACAACTCAGTCCGCTGGCTGCGAGTTCGCGTTCAACGGTGTAGCTGTTAAGTGGAATCAAGCTATGATAGTTCTCACTGTCATTGGCGCCAACTGGGCAGGAGAAGAGGACGTCGTCAAGGGTAGGAATGTTCCTCTCAGGTCATAGATGGCTAGTTTCAATGGGCTCGTAGGGCCTGGGTCCACCGAGGGGAACAGTGACCATGTTCACCCTATATGTCTATCTAGTAAAGTTACCAATCGAAAATGTAAGCCTACACTGCAACAGGAGACCGCGGCTTGTTTAGGGTATAGAATCTGGTGTACGCATTCGCGCCGCCATCGCAGATGCGCGCGGGGTGCTTGGCGCAGGGAAGAAGCTGTCAACAAACTGGGAAGACAAACCAGCCATGTCGATGAGACACTTATCATCCAAAGCCTTGGGGATCATCTCGTAGCACAACTATGGGCAAGACAGAAGATACGCGCTTGAGTATCGATTTGAGTCGTTTAAGACAGGGTAATTAGACCACTGTAACGGAAGAGTTAGAGATTCTACATCCACGCAGATTTTGTCGCAAGCCCCGATGGATCGATACACGTCTTATAGCTGTGTGGTTGTCTGACACATAAGATCCGACATCTCTCTTAGTTAAGAATTACATGCGAGTTCGTATGACGTACTCCAGACCCTGAATCTACCTTAAAGGTCAAGAAACAACCTGGCGAGGGCCAGGATGAATGCTATCCCATCGGGGAAGTGAGTGACTGAGTCCTGGTTGCCTTTGACTTGAGTAATCCCAACGTGGGAATACTGCCCCCAGAGGCTTAGTGAGACCAGCGGTACTGCGCGGCCTGCCGGCTAGCTCGTGATAAAGTTTCACGGGTGTGAGATAGTGCGTGTGTCACGTGTGTATATGCACCGCTCGCTGGCGTTTGACCTCCGGGGGCCCCTTTTCTGCCATTGCGCTAAAACGCATCATAATCACAGGGCCATTCTGCGCGTCTTGGAGCGATCGATCGGCGACGCGGGGCCCTCCCAGACAGTCTCCGGGGCCTCTGGGGGTCGTTTTGGGGCCCTCTTGGGCCCAGCATTGCCATGCGACAAGATGTGGGGGAACCTAGGGGGCGCGCGCCACGCCCCAGAGGGCACGTGCCAAGCCCCGCTAAATGTTGGATGTGTGGGTCAGGATTGAGGACTGGCTCCAGGGATTCGGCAGAGGACCTGCGGACACGCCAACGCCGTGCCCAGAGGCACGGTGGCGGATAACAACTCCTTGGGGTTCCGCGCGGATCTCTCGGATCGGCGTTGGGGCTCTCCTGGCGGAGCCTCCAACGTCGCCCTAGGCACGCTCCACGCGCCAGGCAGGGGGGCCAAACGCCGATCCAAGAAATCCGCGCGGAGCACTGCAAGTTCATGTTTACGCAGTTTGTTGCCCCCCTAACCGAAGAGCGACGGGTCGATCGTGCCGACATGCAAGCGTGACCTTCCCGAGTAAAGCCGCGCGTAAGCGCCCTCGTTTCAAATGTGGCGTGCGGGTCTGGTGACCAGCGTACGCCGCGGCGTAAGGTCGCTGTGCCATCTCGCGTAAGACTCGTTAGTCTTCGTTTATCAGTGAGTCTCTCTTTTTGGGGTGTGGTCTCTCGCTGTCCACAACTTTGTCTGCGCTGGTCGTAGTTTCTCTGAGCAGCAGCGCCCGCAGGAGCGGGATGCACACCGCCGGAAGCTGCGCGAGGAGCTGGATCGGTTCGGGGCGGACGTGCTGGCGGAGCGGTCGCGCTGCGCCGCGGACGTTTTGGCCGAGCAGCGGAGGCGCGAGCAGGAGCGCTCCGCGGGGTCGCTGCCGGCGCCTCGTCTTCCCCCCTCTCCTCCCCCTCCTGGGGCAGCGAGGGCTGCGGACAGGGCGTCATTTGGGGCCCCGAAAGGGGCGCTTGGACCCCAAAGGGGGCCTGCAAGGCCCGAGCACAGGCACCTTCCTTCCCCCCCCTCCTAGTCTCGCCCCCCATCAATTCGCGCCCAACTGACGCCCGGGTTGAACAAATCAGATCTGGGGACAGCAGAACCCACCCCCACCCCCAGCCAAAACCCCCAGTCCCGACCTGGTGATCCAACGGTGCCTGGCGGCAGGTGACGGTGGTCTTTTGGCCCCCACTTCCCCACCCCCAGCCAGGACCCCCTTGATGACCAGGTCGGGAGTCGGGGTCCTGGCTGGGGGTGGGGAGGTTTACGCTGCCCTGGGATGTCGTCGGAGATCTGGTGTCGCAGTCGTGGTCTCGCCAATGCAGTGCGCCCCAATGCGCAGCGCGGCAGGGCTGGACCTAAACACTGTTTTGCTGGACTTCGGCTGTGTTCTGTTGTTCATTTTGGCAGGGAGGTCCTTGACAATAGGTAGGGCAAGCCGAAAAACATTACACCAGAGAACAACCTCAATCAGTGGATGGTTTGATCGATAAGGAGATCGATCGGGTACCCGGGAACCTGGAACCCACCGAAATTGGCCCAGAACCAATAAAAAGGAACCAAAAGGAACCCGGGTACCCGGAACCGGGCACCCAGAATCGGGCACCCGGGAACCCAGCCGGCCACCAAAATCGGCGGGACCCTTTCGCCAAAGTTTTCAATTGCCGCTGGGACCCCTTCAAAGCAAGCACTGCTTGGGGGGAAAACGAAAACAGAACGAACAAGCTTTTTCCTCGCGCGTCCCACCCTCCACGGGGGGACGTGGCAATCGCCCCCGTCCGGAAAAAAAAAAACAGTCGTCGGGAATCAGGAGACCGGCCGCCCCTGCCGACGTCGCCATCCCGCCGATCACCCCTCGAGAACGAGGAAGCACGTTTAGGCCCAGCCCTGCAGCGGGGCGCCTGGCCCGGGAGGAGCTCCAGCAGTGCGCCGAGGCGTGCGACGCGCGGCTCCAGAAGGCGCTGGCCGCGGAGCGCGCGAGAGCCCAGGCGCCAAGTCGTCGCCGCCGCCGTCGTCGGTGTCGGTCAAGGATCAAGTCGGGCCTGTCCCTCTACAGGAGGAATATCTAAAAACTAATCGTATGGGGACGCTGCTTTGAGTATCTGTTGGCTATGTTGGTGCATGTTTTGAGGTTATTTTCAATGTCTCGCCCAAAATCCGCCTGTACGGGGACATGCCCGACCGAAATCAGGGCACCAGGTCATACCGGCGCCGTTTCTGGTCTTCTGGGCTCCCCTGGCGCGCCCCCCCCGCGTCGTCACGGCGGGATCCGCCCCGAGCTCCTGGCCAGGGCGCTCCCTGGGGCGGGCCCGCGGGTCGTCGACGCTCGATCGTCGCGGCCGGGTTCCCTCGAGTGCGTGACACCGCTGGGAGTTTTTAGGCCTCCTGGATGGGGTCGGAGCAGACGGGGTCGGAGGACCGCGCCGCATCGCCGATGCATCGCCGATGTGGCTCGATGTGAAGCGCGATTTGCTTCACGCCGATGCATCGACGATGCATCGCCGATGTATCGGCGATGCGGCGCGATCCTCCGACCCCGTCTACCCCGACCCCATCTTGGAGGCCTCTGGGAGCACAGTGCTGTCACTCGCCATGCGGTAGCCCTCCTTACTTGGGACTTGGTCATGCGCAGAGTAGCCAGCCAGCCAGCAGCATGTTTGTCCTCCTCCTCGCGGCAACCGCCCTCCGCCGCCTCGGTCCTCGGCCCTCCTCGGGGACACTGATGGCGGCCTCGTGTCCTCTTCGAGGTGTCTCGGCAGGTTCTTCTCGCCGCCGCGGCTCAAGTAATTAACCGACACGGTCGCGGCATCCGTGCCTCAGTTGTTCCAGCCTCCTCCGTCACCACCCGTCCTCCAGGGCCCCCTTTCGACTCGATCGGTCGGATCTGGGATTGGTGTCGCCCCGCTCGGCCCGAGTCGGCATGCAAATTCCCGGGCGTACGCCGCACCGCCGACGCCTCGCATTTCCGTCGCGTGGTCCTTTGGAGTTCTGTAAGTTGTCGTGGGGATCTCCCATGGAGGTCACCGGCTTCGCGGGGTGGGGTGTCTTGTGGGCCGTCTTGGGAGCCTTGAGGGATCCTCTGGAAAGGCCTCTTGGAGGGCCCTTCGGGCTTCTTGGGAGCTTCCAGGCGGTGCACGAGGCCATCAGGGCAGGGCACACTCGCTCTGCTCCTCTTCAGCCCCTGTTGAGGCCGTCTTGGGCGCTTTTAGGGGCCTGGGGGTCCTTCTGGGGGTCCCTCTTCAGCCCCTGTTGAGGTCTTCTTCTGGGGGTCCTCGGTGTGGGTTCTGAGGGTCTCTTGGCGGCCTCGTGGGCCGCCTTGGGCCGAAGTTGGAGGCCCCGTGGGCCGTTTTCGGCGCTGCGTGTGCCCACTTCTCGAAGGCGCTGCACAGAGTTTTCTCACGTTTTCCCACGTTTTCTCGAAGGCGCTACACAATCGTCCTTTGCACGTGTTTGGCGTGTCGCACGGCTGTTCAGGCGCGTGTTTGGCGTGTCTCAGGCTTGTGCCAACGCGTCCTACTGGACGCACGGCTAACTGACTGACTTGAGACGATTGTTGCCCCTTGGGGCCCCCTTGGCTCTTGGCGGGCTTCTTCGAGCCCTCTGAGAGCGTTCTGGGGGCCTCCTGAGCTGTCTTAAGCCATGTGGGGCCGTCCGTGAGCAAGCGTGGGCCACTTGGTGATCATCTGGAGCAGTCTTGCGACCATGTTGGCTGATCGAATGGCCGTCTAGGAACGTGGCTGAGCGAGATGAGTGCCCTGGCCCCTTCCGCCGGACCCCCCACCCTCCAAACCAGCCGGACAGGGCTCCCAGGGCAGGGGTTTAAGGACGGGCAACAATCTCACACGCCGGGGAACCACACGGGGTCGGCGAGTCTTTTAGCGATCCGACGTGGTCCCACCGACGCCTGCATCACGCTGTTGCGCATTTCGCTGCGGTCCATCCGGCTCGAACCCGATTCCGTGGCGGTGCAGCCCAGTTCTATGCTTTGGCCTCGCTCGGACGTGTGCACTTGTTCGGCGAGGACCACTGGGGAGCATCTTGGATCGTCTTGCAAGCCAAAGCACACGAAACCGACAAATGCACGGGGAATGGACGTCCGAGCGAGGCGAGATGCGCGGTGCACGCTTCTGGGAAGAGGAAAGCAGCACATATCCAGCTCTCGTGACCCTCCTCCTCTCTACCTCGTCCTCTGGAGGGCCCAGAGCTGGATGTGACTGTTTTCCTCCTCCCAGTTTCAGCCCGATCCGGTTCTGCGCCCCCAGGCCCGCGCACGCGGACGGGCACGGCGTTGGCGACAACCACGTCGCCGGCTGCGTTCGGCGGCGAGCGAGGGGGGGAAGCGAGAAGGAGAAGGCCTTCTCGGAAGGCGGCGGGACTTCTCGGAAACCATCGCGGCTTCCGAGAAGTGTTCGGCGTTTTCGGTGAAGGTTTCGAAAATCCTTCTGGGAAGGCCCGCCCCTTTTCACTTCCCCCCCTCGCTCGCCGCCGATGTGTGTGTACGTGTGTGCGTGTGTGTAGGTGTGTGTAGGTATGTGTAGGCGTGTGTGTAGGGGTGTAGGTGTGTAGGTGTGTGTGTGCAGGTGTGTGTAGGTGTGGGTGTATGTGCGTGTGTGTGTGTGTGCGTGCGTGTGTGTGTGTGTGTGTGTGTGTGTGCGCTTGTAGGTGGGTGCGCGTGTGTGTGTGTGTGATTGTGTGTGAGTGTGTGAGTGTGTGAGTGTGTGTGTGTAATTGTGCGTGTGTGTGTGTGTGTGTGTGTCACAGTCCATCTTGCACACCACTTTAGCTTGCACCTTGCAGTGTGCGACGTCTCGTACACTGTGCCTTCGGCAATGCCCGATCGCAATTAGCACCTCCATCCATGTGCTGCCGCGCTTGAGGACACCCTGCGCCGCCGGCTTAAGCAGTGTTTGCGCGCCCTTCTCGTACCCACCCCCTCTCCTCATCCGCTGCCCTTTTCTGTCCCAGGTGTTGACGTGCTAGTGATCCTTTCATTGCGAGGGGGGGAAACTGGCAGGGTTGGCTCTCTGGTCCTTCCCTCCTATTCGCAGGGGCGGGCGAACCACGTGGGGACCGCGGACGCGGACGGGCACGGCCGTGGCGACGACGGCGGCGGCTGCGACGGCGGCGACACGGCGGCGGCGACCACGGTGGCCCCGCGGAGGCCGCGGACGAGGAGCGGCAGGCGGCCGCCGCCGCGGCCGATGAGCGGCACCGCGCTGAGGCGCACGCTCGCGCCACGGCGGCGCTGGCGAGAGCGACGGCGGCGGCGGCAGCAGCGGCGATGAAGACGACGGCAGCGCCGACGTCCGCGGCGGCGGCGTTGGCAGCGACGGTGGCGGCGCCAATGGCGGCGGCGGCGCCGCCGACGGCAGCTGCGAGGACAACGGCGGGGACCGCCGATGGCGGCGGCGAGGGCGACGGCGGAAATTGGAAATCGGTCACGGCCACGGCTGCGCATTCTCGCGCGTCGGCGGCAGCAACGGAAACGCCAGCAGACGAGCACGACAGTGACGACAACGGAGTTTCCCACTTGTTGTTGCTGCCGCGCCCGAGCGCGAAACATCGTCGCCGCCGCAGCAACATTGGTTCCCGAGCGACAGGTATAACGGCGCGCGCGCCGCCCATCGTCGGTTTCGTGAGGATCCATTGAAAACCGTTCCCGTTGTTCCAACCATCTTCTGGTGTTGGGTCCCCTTTTGAAGACGCATCGCCCCGCGTCCCTCCTCCTCCGTCCTCCTCCTCCTCCTCCTCCTCCTCTTCTCTTCCCTGCCTCTGCTCTCCGCGTTCATCACGACCAGCAGCATCATCACCACCATCCTCATCAGCATCCTCATCATCATCAGCATCATCATCGTCGTCATCATCATCGTCGTCATCAGCATCATCATCAACATCAGTATCATCATCATCGTCAGCAGCATCATAATCACCATCATCACCATCATCATCATCATCATCATCAGCATCAGCATCAGCATCAGCATCATCATCAACACCACAACCATCATCATCATCAGCAGCAGCAGCATCATCATCAGCTGCATCATCATCGTTAGCTATCATCATCACCATCATCACACTCATCAATACGAAACTCACCTTACGAGGATCGTGGCCCCGTTGGGAGCTCCACGGAAGGCTCCAGTGGCAGGGGTTGCATGGCGGTTCCGCACCCGTTTTTGGTCCACCCCTCACGAAGACCGTGGCCCGTAGGGCGTTTCACAGAAATGTCCACTGGCAGGGGTTGCGTGGCGGCACCGCGCCCATGCCGGTACACTTCTCATGAAGCTGCGTCCCCCAAGCGGATTGGTGCAACGATTTTGTGCTTATCCGAAGCAACGAAAATTAGATGTCCAAGTTTTTCGGTTTGCCTTGATTCAGAAATTGTTGCGTCGCCGACCCGCTCCGAAATTGGGCATTCGGCGTGCGGCTTGCCCGAAATCTCGCTTCGACGCGTCATTCGAGCGGTGTCGCCCCCGGTCTGTTTTCGCCTCGTCTCTCTGCTACAATTTCTCTTTGAAGTTCAGAATCGCGATTTCGGGTATCGTTTCGGCTCGCGGTGGCCTCTTCGGGGATATTGTGCGCGTCGTGGGCCGTCTGGAAGCCGTCGTGGGTGTCGCGGGCCGATCATTCGACGACTCGGAGCCCTCTTGGGCCGTCTCGGGCGCCTCTTGGGGCCCTTTTGCTTCGCTTTGGGGCGCCCGAAAGCCGCGCCCAGGAGAAGAACCATCCCAGGCCCGACCTGGCCGGGCTTTACGTCCGGGGGCCCCTTGTGGGCCGCCCCGCGCGCGCGAAATAGAAATGCTGCGAGGCAGTCGCCTGAGATCTTCGCGCACCCCTGGCCAGTAGGGCCGGCGAGCTTCCCCCGAGAAGCATGTCCAGAGCGCTATGGGGCGCGCGACGCACGGGCGGGCCAATTTCGACGATTGTTTCTCTCGTCATGTTTTGCTGCTGCTGGAAAACGACACAGCCGAAACCTGAAACGCATTTTAAACTCGGCGGCCAGCCGAGGTTGAGAGAAAACCAGGAAGGCACTGGGAGGGGCCAAGGTAGGCCCCACCAGGCCGAGAACAGGCCCTGGGGACAACCACTAAAACGCATTCAAAAATCTACTGCAGAGAGGAAGGAGGAGCAAACAGGGGAGGACGCACCATCAGCGGCAGCAGGCGGCCTTAAACCTGAATGGCCCAGGCGCAGACGAACACGTACCACAGCAGTCCGAGGACGAGGACACGGATGCCATACCACACAACGGTGCAGTTGTCATACTTATTGTCCCCAACGTCGGTGATGCAGGCGGTAGGCACAGTGACGAAATCATTCACAGTGTAGAAATCAACCGATATGGCGGAATGAGCCGATGTAGCGAAATCGACCGATATGTCGAAATCAACAGGTGTGCCGAAACCTACACAGTGATGTAGAGACCTCAACCACAGTACCACCACCAAGAGTTGAAACAGCGACAACGTAGAGGTCAACCAAGCAGAATATCTCGCCGCACTTAGGGCCCCCTGAGTGCAGCAAGACGGTTTGGTCAGTAGAGAAAGTAAGCGAAAGCACAAACTCAACCACAAAGGCGAACCCAACCACAGTGTCGAAATAACCAACAGAGTCGAAATCCTTCACAGTGTAGAAATCCACCTGCGTGGAGAAATCCATCCAAGGAATAACTCAACCACAGTGTCACGATCACTCATCTCCGAGGGTGTTCTGAATCATCTCCTCCATGGCCCCATGGCGGGGGGGGGGCGGCTCCGATTGCTCGCTTGGCTCCCGTGCGCGCGAGGGCGAGGCCCAGTAGGCGGCGCAAACGCGCGCCCGAAGACAGCGAAGGCGCGCCAGAGCCGTCGGGTAGCATCGTCGTCAGATCCACGTCGGCTATCGCGACGTGCAGCTTCTTCTTGTTCTGGTCGTAGCACTCGGCGAGGCGAAAGGGCCGAATCCTCCATCTCCACCTTGGCGTAGAACTGCTCGCACCACTTCGCGATCTCGTCGGAGGTGAGTTGCCCCAGCGCGTTCCCGCGCTTCAAGTGTGCGCTCGCGAACCCATTGAAGATGCGCATGCGAAGGTGGGCCCAGCAGGCGGCCGCGCCCCTGCTCCTTGACCGCCGCTAAGTGCCGGCGGCCTGGCTCGAGCGCCTCCTCGACCTCTGGCGACGCGGTGCCCGCGAAGAACGCGTCCACTCCGACCGCCCATAGATCCCTGACGGCCTGGCTGCGCACCTGGGTTTGCTCGATCAAGACAGATAGGATGGCATCTTGCTTGCGATTGAATCCTGCTTCTCGAAGGTTGCCGAGGTGTTTGTTGCGATCTTTGTGGTCTCGACGAGGCTTGTCTCCTTTCCCGCCGTTGCCCTTCTCCTTCGAATCAGTCTTTCTCGGTTCTTTGGCAGCTTGCGACGCGGCGGGGGGGCCGTCGGCCGAACGCATGACTGCCCAAGACGGGGCGGTAAACGACGTCGCGGGGAGCAGGGCGCGGCGGTAGGTGTCCGTCTCGGACGCGCTTCTGAAGTTGGTCGAGATTGGGCCACTGCGAACAGCTACATATGGGGCAAGTAAGCGGCGCGGCGACGACGGGGTGCATCGCACAGGCAGAGCTAGCGTTGCAGGCACCAGCACGATATGCAGCGCGATTATGGGATTTAGCACACCGACGAAAGGCGAACGTTTGTAAGCAGCGCGGGCACTGATTGGTCACGACGCATTTGAGCAGCTTTGACGTCTTACCACGGGCACCACCTCTGGCAAACGCGCCACGCGTAGTTAATGCTTTGCGCGACGAAAAAGAGGCCCCAGATATACAATTTTCATCAGTCAGCTGTGTGCGCCGAAATCGTACAGCAGCATTGCCCCGCCCATCGGCTTCCCCCTCGCTTGGCATCGGCAAGGTCTATAGCGCCCCCCGCTCCCCCAAGCTTTCGAAGTTTCCGAATGACCGAGACATCAGCGCGCACGAACCGGCGTCGAACATCGTCGTCTTCGAAAAGTTTCACAATATATCGCTCCCAGTGCTCTTGCCAGTCATCCATGCCAGTAAAGGCAGCTAGGCAAGAAGCATCAGCGACAAACCGTCTAGCAAAAGGGTTCGCAGTCGGCGTCGCGCGTCCGTCAGCAAGGGCGCGGTGCGTTTCGAACTCGTACTTACCGAAAAGAGTCGCGAGAACCCGAACGAGCCCCTGGGCCAGGAGCACATGTCGAACAGGAACTAAATCAAGCCAGGAGTAGGTGCGACGGCTAGTCCAGGAGCGAGGACGCGGGCCAGGCCAATCACAGGGGTCTCCTTGAGCAATCGACCTTATCTTTCAACGGCGCAGAATCAAGTTCAATATCTTGCGCAGGGGACAGGGTGAAAGGCGCCAGCCCTGACAATCAGGCACCCTGAACAACGGGCACAAAGATGGGTCTTTTTTACCTTGCACGGCGCGCGACTGCCCCACCAATGTCGAAGAGCCATCCAACCACGCGCAGCAGCATTCTCGGCAAGCAATCACTGTCTGCGGGGCCAGAGCACCAATGGGCATAAAGAAGGGGCCAAGGTAGCGTGCATGCGGCAAGACTTTAGCAACTCCCACTTGAGCACCGAAAAAAAAGACGAGTATCATGATATTCATTGAGCCGGGGCGCGAGCATTTGCTTCTTGAGATTATGTTTGTACCCGTACATGTCCAAAACTTTCGTTGCAGTGGCTTGTTCAAAATTAATTTGTCGCACAGCTTCTGCGAGTTTACCATTCTGCAGTAGAACAGATCGCCCACGTACTTGACACGGGATGTATCAACACGTTCATCAAATAACGGGCACTCCGCATGCAGTTCAGGCTGATGCGAGCGACGTCGCCAAGTGTTCACAGGCCTCGCGAAGTCCATGCGGAACTCGTCGGGGGCCGACGTCTCACCCATGAGCGCGCAAGTAGTGGGCTTAAGGTGTAATGGGCCGTCAGCAGCATCAAGATGAAGTATATGTGTGGAGCGGAGATCTGCTTCAAGAGAAGCGTCTGCATCAGGCAGATATTCACGCAGCACTTCGTTGAGTCGAGAAAAGTCACAACATCCGCATGCGTTGGTCACGTCATCCAGAACAGCGACGCGACAAACCTCAGCAGCTCGAAGTCGCCACGCCGTGGCGCGCACAGCGACAATAGCATTTCCACGTCGACGACGGGGCGCGCATCCTTGATCAGCATGGCGAGCAGGTCCGAACGGCACGCTCTTGTAGAGGCCACGGCAAACAGCTCGAAAGAAGGTGCACAGCCCATGAAGGTATCGCGTGGCACCGTCGGGCTTAGGCGTTTGCCAGACGTTGCTGTAGCCGGCGGAAGAAGGAAACCTCCTTCTCATTCTCCAGCAGGTGGCCAGGGCCCGCAAGGTGGTAGAGATCGCAGGCGCATCGGGGGGCTCGATAGTGCAGCCCACGCCAGCCATGGACTTCTTCTTCTTCTGCGAATAATACCAAGTACGCAACGTCCTCAGCCATATCTCACCAGGCATACCCCAAGCAGGTACAGCACGTCGACGAGCAGCTTTCTTAAGAAATGCGATAGCACGTGTAGGCCCCCCCCCCGCCAAGAGCCCCTGCAGTGCCATGGTTACTAAAGCCAGTGCGTGGGGGAGCAGCGCTTTGAGCTTCATAGGTAGCAATATCGACAGATTGAGCACCCACGCTTCCCTGTGCGCCGGGCCTCTGCAATATCTGGACAAATTTCGATGTGAAGGGGGCGTGCTTGCGAACCAATTTGCATTGTCTGCGCTGGGGGCCGACACCGGCGCCAGCAAGCTTGCGAGAAAGGGTCGGAACATCGGCAAGTCGACGACGACTCCAAGCATCATGAAGCTGCTGGGTCCATTTGCGATGGAGTTCACGGCGCCATCTGCGAACCATGCCCTTGAGGATAGCGCAGAGGTTGCGAAGCTGAGAATCGTGACGAGCATGAGAGGAGCAGCGACCGCCCGAAGCTTACCACGCGGCCGGCCTGCCCCCGCCCCCGCGAGAAGACGGCTGAAGTCGATCATTCTGCGCGCCTCCATGCCGCGTTATTATTATTATTACTTGCTGCTGCTTCCAATTATTTCCTTTCCCCGCTGCTGCTGCTGGCCTCCCTGCCGCTGCTGCCGCTCCTTATTTTTCCTACCGTCGCTGATGTTGCGCGGGCGCGCCTGCTCGGCATGCAGGCGCATCGGGCAGGCCCGCGATTCTGCGCCGACGGTTTCGATTGCGATGTCGCTTACGATTTCGAACGCGATTTTGCCAGCAATTTCGGACGCGATTTTGCCCGCGATTTTTGGCCGCGATTCCGCGCCCCTTTGCAAGGCCCCACGAAACCACCCACGATCTTGAACACGTCGTTTTTCTTATTGATTGATCTGTGAGAAAAATCGTTGTCACAAAAGTGTGCCCTCGCGGAAGGGAGGCCAAAAAAGTGCACGAAATCGGGGCCAAAAAAATGCCCCAAGTTTTGGCCGAACGGGGGGGGGGGGCAGGGCGTCGCGGGAAGGCGGCGGGGGGGTCGGGGAGGGGGCCAGGGGCCCCCCCGGGGGCCCCTGCCCGATCGGAGAGGACGCCCTCGCGGCGGGCTGCGCCGCCTCGCGCGGCGGGTTCGCGATTGCCGCCGCGCCCGCGGCCGGCCGTTGAGGCATCGACGCCAACGTTCGCCGTCAGGCCCCTCTTCTCCGCCACCAGTGCGGCCGCGCGCCGCGGCCCCCGGGGGAGAGCGCCGGGGCCTCGCCGCGGCTGCGGCAGCGTCTTCGCCAGCGACCCTCGCGCCCGCGGCGGACCCCGCAAGCGCTGCTCCCCAGGGGCGGAGTTCCCTCGACTTGCGCGGGCATGAAATCCAACCGCCTCCGGTGCCCCGTCAATTCCCCGCGCGGCGCTCGCGCTCGGGCGTTTCTTCTTCGCGCGGGGCCTCCAAAGTGGCCCTATCTCGCGGTTCGTCTGTCCCGCGCTGGCGCGTTCCATCGCGCCTCAGCCTGGGAGGCGTTTCTCCCGCGCAAACTATCGGCCGCGCGGCCGGGGCTGCGCCTAGCCGTTCGACGGTTGCGCGCGCGCGCGCCGATTCCGCCTGCGCTTCGACGGCTGCTCGCGCCCAAATTCGCGCGGACGCTATGCCCGACGATTGTGGAATGAAACGTCATCGCGGCGATGAGTTCCATGGCGGTCACGCGGCGGCTTGGCTCGGGGGCCGCGTCGGTCGCGTCTCCGCGGCTCGCCTGGCGCGATTCAATGGCGGGGGCACGCGGCGCGCGGCGATTCGATGGCGCGCGGGCGTTCCATGATGATTCCCCGCGGTCCAGCTTGAGGAATGCAACCTGTTGGGCATTGTCCCATTTGGAAATCGCTGCGGCTCCTTTGGGGGGGGCCCAGCTTGGCAACGCTTCCCACGAAGATCGCGGCCCCGCAGGGGCCTCCGCAAAAGAGGGTTCACTGGCAAGCGCGGCAGCGCCGCATCCACGTCGGCGCATTCTTCGCGGGGACCGCGGGCCCGTTGGGAGCTCCACGGAAGGCTCCAGCGGCATGGGTTGCACGGCGGGTCCGCGCCCGTTCCCGGTAGACCCCTTCATTAGGAACGCGGCCCCGTAGGGAGCTCCGCACAAAGACGTCCCCAGTGGCAGGGGTTGCATGGCGGCACCGCGCCCATGTCGGCACGCCCATTCACGAGGATCGTGGCCTTGGAGGGAGCTGCGCAGAAGGCTCGGTGGCAGGGGCTACATGGCGGTCCCGCGCGCATTTCGGCACACCCTTCACGAGGATCGTGGCCCCGCAGAGAGGGCTCCACAAAAGGCTCCACTGGCAGGGGGTTCGTGGCGGTTCCGCACCCATGCCGGCACACCCGTTACGAAGACCGTGGCCCCGCAAGGGACTCCACAAAAAACTCGTTTGGTAGGGGTTGCGCGGCGGCACCGCACCCATGTCGGTATTTTTCTCACGAGGACCGTGGCCCCGCAGGGGGGCTCCACAAAAGGCTCCAATGACAGGGTCTGCATGGTGGTTCCGCACCCATGTCGGTACACCTTTCACGAGGACCGTGGCCCCGTAGGGAGCTCAGAAAAAAAAACTCCATTGGCAGGGGGTACACGGCGGCACCGCGTCCATGTCGGCACACCCATCACGAGGATCGTGGCTTTAGAGGGAGCTCCACAGAAGACTCTATGGCAAGGGTTGCGTGGCGGTTCCGCACCCATGTCGGCACACCCCGTACGAAGACCGTGGCCCCGCAGGGGGGGCTCGGCAAAAAGGGTCCACTGGCAGGAGTTCCATGGCGGTTCCGCACCCAATTTGGTACACATTCACGGGGATCGTGCCGTGGACAGGCGGAGCGCCTGTCCATGGCAGGAGCCTGAAGGTCGCCCAGCGCTCAGCCAAGCCAGGGGCAGCCAGCAGACGCAGCCGCGAGGACCCGGCGGCCGGGCCGGAAGCCGTGGGCGCCGTTTCAAGAACCGCAGGAGCACCCAACGTCCCGCCCAGGAGCCGCCGGAGCCCTCCTCGGCGGGCGCCTGGAGGCGGCCAGTCCAGAAGTGATCTAAAGCAGGTTAAGCCATTTTTGACACCGGCTGCCCACAGGCGGCGCCGGCAGCGTGCTGCAGCCGACCCGAGCCCGGCGGGGGCCGCCCAGGGGAGGAGGAGGAGGATGAGGAGGAGCAGGAGCAGGAGGACGGGGAGGGGGAGGGGAAGGAGGAGGATGAGGAGGAGGAGGAGGAGGATGAGGAGGACGAGGACGGGAAAAAAATGAGGAAAATAATGAAGAATGAGGAGCAGGAGGACGACGTCGACGACGACGACGACATTGAGGACGTCGACGAGGCTGCCTCCGCGGAGGTGGCGCAGCTGCAGGAGCGTTTCCGCGCGCAGCAGCTGCAGCTCGAGGAGGACGCCTGGGCGTTTGGTTTGAGGGGCACGGCGAGGAAGAGGGAATCGCCCTCCTTCGCCTCCTTCCCCACGCCTTCCCCCTCTCCATCCTCCCCATCCTCCTCCCTTTTCTCCTTCTACTCCTCCTCCTCCTCCAGCTCCTCCTCCTCCTCTGCCTCCGCCAGCTCCTGCTACTGCTCTTCCTCATCCTCTTCCTTCTCCTCCTCGCCCAAGGGTTCGAATACCAAAGCTAGAACCGGCTTAGGAGGAACGTGTGAGAGCTGGGATTTAGGCTACATTAGACATTGCTAGGTCAGAATTGCACTGGCTGTTCGTTTCCACGTAAAGGCTCGCTTGATTTGGCATTGCAGTATAGCGTTCATTTTGAGTAAGGGCAATGGTAGGATTGACGGTGTTGGGCCTCGACTAGTTCATAGTTTTGATCCGTTCGGGAAGATGTGTTGCCCGTGCTTATGGGAAGTTAATCCTGGTCTATCCAATGTTGCTACTCGTTCGTATTATCATGGCAACCTTAAGGATCGTCGCCGCGAAGGTCCTACCATAGTTCATGGTCTGTGTCAGGAGCGTCTTCCGTCTTCTTTCTCTTAGGCTTGGTTTCAACACCATCTTCTACGGCGCGACCAATGCGTTCCATAGCGTGTCGCATGCCATGTTGCAGATGTTGATCCGCCTGAATGTTGACCGTTTCGTTGCCAGTGTTTTTCTGAACGGTTGGTGCACGGTCATGTCAGTCTGAAGTGCGTCGACGGGGTCATATGTGGGAGTCGATTCGGGTACGCTATCTGGGATATGATTGCTTGTTCATGGTTCCTGGGTCCATACCACTGGCCTGTCGACGGGGTCATTAGTACAGGTTGTCTTGGGCTTAGCGCCACGGTCCCCTGGCTGAAGCAGTGTCTGACCGACGACGTGCACGATCGTTTGCTCCCCTGTCCCTGGTCGGATAGACCGATCGACATTTCGCTCACAAGTTTCGCCGATGATCTTGCGAGAGCGCCGCTTTTGCGTTCGCTCGAAGGCATGATCCGGTTTGAATATACAAAACACGACCCTGCTGCAAGACAGACTAAGCATCGTGCAAATCCGAGCGAATGTGGGCAAGCAAGGAGACTTGGCGCATCAGTGTGGCCGTGGCGCTACTGCTGCTCAGAGAGGACTCTTCGGTAGGAGGGACACGAAGAAGGGGGAATGGTGGCTGAGGACGAGGACGCGCCCGACGGCCGCCGAAGGCCGCCAGAAGCCTTGGGCGACCCGCGCCGACGGCCTCCGACGGCCGCCGAGGGCCTCCGAAGGTCTTCGGCGGCCCACGCCGACGGCCTCCGACGGCCGCCGAGGGCCGCCGGAAGCCTTCGGCGGCCTCCGCCGACGGCCTCCGACGGCCGCCGACGGCAGCCTCCGAGGGGCCGCCGAGACGCCTGCGGCGGCCCGCGGGTGGTGCCCCCCCCTCCGCTGCGAGGACGGGCGGGAGCGGGCCAGGGCGGAGCTCGAGCAGCGGGAGGCCGCCCTCCGCGAGGAGCGGCGTCGTCGGCGGCGCCGTCGCCCGCGCCTTCGCCTGCGCGTCGCCGTCGCCGTCGCCGTCGCCCTCGGTCGTCTCAAGTCGGGCCTGTCCTTCTAAAGGGGGGAAATTCAAAAATATGCAAAAATCAAAAAGTCTGGGGACGATTTTTGACCATGTTTGAAAATTTCTTGGGTATGTTTTGGGTACGGCTCATTTTGTCCAAAATCATCCTGTATGGAAACATGCCCGACCTAGCGGTCGTCTCCAGGATGCGGGCAATGCTTGTTTCCATATCCATTGTAGCTTTCAGGTTCGGGCTCACTTCCCCAGAACCCCGAGGCGCACTGGACGTGGATAAGAGTCTGGCCCCTGCAGAGGCTAGATGGTTGTCCATATCCGGTGCGCCTCGGCCTTGTGGTAATCACCCCTTCGGAGAAAGTCCACGACGCACTGGACATGGATGTATACATTGCCCGCGCAGGAATCCAGGCATCCTGCATGGTGTCCGAGCAGACAGGCCGACATCGGTGCGTAAGCTGCTCGCGTAAGGTCGCGCGTAAGCGCCCTCGCTTCAGCGTGTTGTGCCGTGCCGGCGGCCCGCGTAGGCCACCGCGTAGGGTCGCTATGTCATCTCGCGTAAGACCTTTTTGCGATCGTCTCTCAGATTGGGTCGGAGGATCGCGCCGCATCGCTGAGGCATCGGTGATGCGGTTCGGTGTGGGCCCCGATTTTCTCCACGCCGATGGCGCCGATGCATCGGCGATGTGGCGCGATTCTCCGACCCCATCTACGCGGACCTCATCTTGGAAACGTTTAAAGGAGGAAAAGCTGCATCAGCATGAACTTTCGGAACTCCGCGCGGATCTCTCGGATCTGCGCCGGGCCCCCTTTCTGGCGACGCTTCCGGCGTCAGGTTGGGGCATTGAGCATCTGCAACCACTGATAACCTCCTACCCCCTTTACAACCCCCGCGCCTCCCAGGATGGCCAAGGGCGCACGCCCTGGGGCGGCGCCGGATGCGCTGCCGGGGGGTGCAGCGCCGATTCGAGAAAACCGCGCGGCCCTCCGAGCAATGGACCAGTCATCCAATGGCATCCTACCTGTGCCGCCGATCCGGGGCGCTCCTGGTGTGCGAGGGCCGCCGTCTCGCAGCGAGGAGCGAAGAGGTTTGAGGTTCGAGGTGTTCGGAGGTCTTCGCTGGTTCTTGGTTCAGCGATTTTCGGGTTGACCCAATACGATTCAATGATTCTCTTGGTTCAGCGATTTTCGGGTTCAGCAATACGTTTGCAATACGAAAGCCCCAAATCTATTGCATCACTCCCTTTCAGCTGGACCCCCTTTTGGGTCACACAAAGATTTGGCTTCCGAGCAATGCCGTGTCAGACCATGCACCTCTCCCTGGGCAGCGCGCGAGGCGGCGCCTCTTTGGGTCTCTAGGTGGCCTTTTGGGGACTTCTTTGAGGCCTCTTGGGGTATCTTGGGGGGCTCTTGGGGTATTCCTGGGGGCCTCCAATACGGGGTCCCTGGAAATCACGACCCCTTCCCTTGGGCCAGCTTTTCGTCCCGAGTCGTCCTTCGTCGGCCCCAAGGCCCAGCGAGGTGCTCCATGGGCCGACACTTCCGAAAAACCTCCGTCTAGATGTCTGTCATCACGTTGGATGTCTGGGTGCATGTGTATCAAAAACCAGCCTGATCCAGCATATCCCTCCGTTCAATAATGTTGAATTCCGTTCAATCGGGTTTCCCGCGGCTCACCACTGAATTGGGTTGATTCGCCCTTCATCGTTCCCAAGAGGACCTCCCAGGAGTTGCCTCTTAACATGTCTGTGTGGCCGTGTGTTCCTTGGGGGGTTCCTACGCCTAAGGTGTTGACTCTTTTTCGCCAATCGACTTATGTGAACCAAGCTTGATGAAACAAGGTAAATGCTGACATATCGAGGCAACTCTTGGTAAAGCCAGGTAGATGTTGAGCACATCGTGGCCGCTCCAGCTCGAATCGAGGTACGGCACCAGTCGTCAAGCCCATAACGATCCTGGCCCGCCTCGCTCGCCCCCATTCCCTCCCAAGGAGCTGACCGCGGAGCGCGACCAGCAGCTCGACGAGCTGATGGAGCGCCTGAGCCGGGAGCACGTGGAGCAGCAGCGGGCGCTGAAGGACAGTCGGAGGAGGTCGTCGTCGTCTTCCTCCTCCCCCTCCTCCTCCTCCTCCTCCTCCTCCTCCTCCTCCTCTTCCTCTACAGTTACACAATATGAATACTACTCTCCTCCATCCCCTGATGGCGTGCGGAAGATAGCGGGCACCCCTCCGCGTACTGTTTTTTACACAGGATTTCCCGGAGATGGTTTTCGTTTTTTTTTTTTTTTTTAATGATGCTCTCGTTGAGGCGCGGGCTTCATTTTCGGGCTTCCGCTCGTTCCGAATCGTGCTCCCGC